CGAGCCCAGGCTCCTGAGTGGCTTTGGCTGTGGAACTGGGCGGTTAAGGGTGTGGCTTCTGGAGTCAGGCTGGCCTGCGTTCGAATCCACTCTCTCCCATCCTCCCTTTGAGTTACCTCTCTGAGCCTTGGTGTCTTCATCTATAGCTTGGGAGCAGTAATAATGATAACTATTATAGCTCGTAATTAGTAGAGTTGTTGTGAGACATCAGTAAGATAATCAGTAAAATACTGTTTACCCATCGTGCCTGTCACATAGTGGCAGATTCAGCCCCTCCTCCACCCCAAGACTCGTCTCCTATGCTCTGGGACTGACTTTGGACAACGAAAGGCCTCAGCTCCTTCAACTCCTGGTGCGAGGTGTGCCCCAGCTCCCGCCCCTGTGGAAGCTGACCTGTGATAAAACCTGGCCCCTCCTTACCCCTCAGTCCCTTACTCATAAACCTCCCTTCAGGCTTCTTGGGTGGTGATATATTTCTCCATTTCAGGGTTTGCCTGGGCTCTACTTACAGCTTATTTCACCTGGATAAACAGAAGGGGCAGGGGAGGGTATCAGGAAATTCTCCTTCACCTCGGGCTTCTCCCCGCTCTCCATTTCCAGTTTGGCTCCTGGCTGGTTACCTTCATGTCACCACCTCTCCCCTTAGCTGCTGATATTGTAGAGTCAACATCACCCAGGGGCTTCTTCCACCCTTGCTGTGGCCCCTGGGAATTTCTTGCAATTTGATTAAATGGCTTGTTTCTCCCTACAGCACTCTGAAGTTCAGCACAGCTGTGAGGCAAGAATGCTCTCTATAGGGACTTCACCTACTTAGACTGGACAGTAATAAACCCATCTTTACAAGGTCCTGGGGCCGAGAGGGGTTCAGTTTTTCAGCAGCGCTCAAAAACTCCTGGTTGGTCCTACCTATCACCCCCATCAACAATAGTCAGGATGAAAAAAACTTAGATAAGGTGGTATAGTCAACTTGCACGACAGATAGAAACCTTGCAAATTCCAAAATACTTAAATATCCATAATCTGATTCCATGCAGATCAAGCCTTTGAAATGGTGGTCCTACCTACATTTACAGATGAGGAAACTGAGGCTCTGAACAGTGTAGTAGCTCCTCCAAGTTTCCTGTTGTTCAGGGGCTGGACCAGGGGAGTCATTGACTAGGCAAGAGGAAACTGTTGTCTTTGCTTCAGTGGTTGGAGGGAGGAAGTGATGCTAATGGAGGTAAGAATTTTATGACGACCTTAAAAAATAGCCTTCAGGGTCGGTGCTGAGTGGTGACAGGGCTGAAGTCTGGGGCAGGTGGAAGGCCTGCTGCTTGTTTGAGAATGTACTTTGGATCCTCCCCTGGACCCCCCTGAGGCCCTAATTATATTCATCTCTGCCTGAAGGGAGATAAATCTTGCCCTGCTCCTTTCAATTTAGGGATTTTTGTTTTACTCCTTCCCCATCCCTCCAGCCAGCAAAGAAATGTCACTCCAGGCAAGATTGTCGCAGAACTGGGCAAAGACAGCACCAGTTCCTACGTCTCACCTCTGGATTCCAGTCCTGTAGTTTTTCAGAAGCTAGTCTCAGTTCCCTCAGTACCACGGTGCATGATGAACACAGCTTCCCCAGAGTCAATTCAGTTCTATAACTTTGTTTTTGGACCTGTGAAGTATGACTAATTTCTTCCTATAGGGGAAAGATTTACAAGGGCTTCCTGGAAATGGTAGCCGAATTGCCTTTTGGCACATGGAACTGAGGCAAAATCTCTTAGGGGAGACAGTGGAGGGACAGTTACTTGGAAAGACTCCAGCTATTACCTAGAGAAATAGAGTAGAAAAGCAGGGGCCTGGCCATGTCTCCTGGGGCAAGTCACTTCCCTGTGGGCCTCAGTGTTTCCATTTCTGAAACTCTCCCTTGCACTGTCAGATGATGCTCATAGCTTTGGGAGCTGTGAACTGCTGAACCTTTTGTTCAAGGTAGTGGGTGTTCATTCATTTAACAAATATTTATTCAGGGCCTTCTGTGTGCAGGAACTCTCTTCAAGGTAGTGGGGAACAGAGAATAAGTCAAAAGTTCTGGTGCTTCTGTTTCGGTATTGGGGGGACAGATATCCAAAAAAGTAAATAAACCCATAATATATAGTCAGAGAGTTATACGTGCAAGGGAGAAAAAGCAAAGTAAGAGACTGGGTGAGGGGGCAGATGATCAAGGAAGGCCTCTCTGAGGAGGTGACTTCTGAATGGAGAGGGTGAGCGACACACACACACATGCACACACACACACATAGAAGGAAGCAGAAGGAACAACATGTGCAGAGGTACTGGGGGCAGGACAAGTTTAGTGTGCTTAAGGAATAGAAAGAAGGACAGTGTGGAGAGTGGTGGGAGGTGACATTGGAGAGGTAGGCAGTCACGTCAGGTGGGGCCATGTTGGTAAGGTAAGAAGATTGATCCTCCTGTGAATGTATTCCTGTGAATGCCATTCGTGCATTTTGAGCAGGAGCATGACCTGATCTGATTTCCTTAGAAAAGGTAGCTATGGGGGGGTGTCAAGACTGGATGCCAGGTTAGAATAATAGTGTTTCCTGTGAAAGGTGATGACAGTCTAACTAGAATAACTAGAGTTGGAGGTGACCAGAGGAGAGAAAGAGACTTTAGAGATGGGGCTGATAGGTTTAGAGGTGGGGTTGGAGAGAAACTGCTGGGTTTTTGATCTGGGTAATTGTAGATGCTTGATGGGATAACAGGGGAGACAAAATTCTGGGTTCTTGGTCTGGATAATGGTAGTTGCTTGATGACTTGAAGGAGAGCAGTTCTAGAAGCATGTTCTGCTCATGAGTGGGTGTGGAGTGTCAGGGAGCTGGGAATGATGGCGGGTTAAATGTGTATGCAAGGAAGTGATTATAATGATGGACCATGAGATTTCAACATCAAGAAGGAAGTGAGGCCTTAGAAGGGATGATGGGACAGTGAAAGGCTATGTTGGCCCCAACTGAGCTGAAGAATTGTTGGAATAGTGATTCCAGGTTTAGTGAGCTAGAAGGATGGGGCATGGTGGGGAGGGTGTAGATTCTTGAAATGAAGATTTTGGGGGGTCATATAATTTTTGTTTGTTTTTTAGTTGGAGTCTCACTCTGTCACCCAGGCTGGAGTGCAGTGGCATACTCACAGCTACCCCAGCATCGACCTGCTGGGCTCCAGCTATCCTTTCACCTCAGCCTTCCAAGTAACCCAAACTACAGGCGTGTGCTACCACACCCAGCTAATTTTTTTATTTATTATAGAGATGAGGTCTCACCAAGTTGCCTGGGCTGGTCTCATGTGGGCTCAGGCAATCCACTTGCCTCGGCCTTCCAAAGTTCTGGGATTACAGACTGGGCCACCGAGCATGGCTGGTATAGTTTTCAATAATGATGAGATCTGAGATGTGACCACGAAGTGGTTGGCTGAGGTTCGGTAGAAGAAAATCATCAGGATGGAGTAAATGCCTCATATATATAGAGTAAGATGCCATGAGTGTTCTTTGTGTTGCAGAACAAGATTGTGGACCAATGTGAGAGGCTGCAGTTACAGAGTGCTGGCATCACCAAGTATATGGCTGAGGTCCTGCCAGAGAAGAACCAGAGAGCAGTGGTAATTCCTCTTCTCTCCCCTTTACTCTGGTCCTCCTCCCAGGATATAAGACCCTAGCCTTAGAGAATTGGACAAGTCTAGGGTCCCTACCCAACCTCACAGACACATTGTGCTACCAGCAAAGCTGGATGTCCAGGGAAGATGGTTTCTCATCTCTGAGCCTCAATGTTACCATCTGGACAGAGTGGGCTAGTTCCTAGTACCATGTTGAGTGCAAAAACTCTTCTAGAAGATGACTTTCTTGGATACTTGGGGTAGGAGATCAAGAAGGATATATTCTTCTGCCATCTAATTATTTTCTGCTCTACCTCAGAATTATGAAATAACTTAGGGAGCTTTTACACTGAGTATTCTTTATGACAATCGTGTGTCTTGGAGTCTCACTTTTGCCCAGGTTAGAACGTAGTGGCATGCTCATGGCACCACAGCTTCAACCTGCTAGGCTCAGGTGATCCTTCTGCCTCAGCCTTCTAAGTAGCTGGAACCACAGGTGCGTGCCACCATGCCTGCTAATTTTTTAATTTAGTGTACAAACAAGATCTTGCCAAATTGCCCAGTCTGGTCTCAAACCCCTGGGCTCAGGCAGTCCTCTTGCCTCTGCCTCCCAAAGTGTTGGGATTACAGGCATAAGCCACTATGCCTGGGTCTTTATGATAATCTTGAGAAGTAGGTGGCAGTAATATCTCCATTTACAGATGGTGAAATGGGCCCTATAGAGGTTAATTCACTCCCATGGCCTCCTGGCAGAGTCTGTTCTATGACCTGGATCTTCTGACTCACAGGCCAGATCTCTTTCTGCTACTTCCAACTGCTGATCCTTTATTCAGTGGACTCATTGCCACTCCTATGTCTTCACTCTCAAGTATGCCCTTCAGGGGCAGGAACTATGAATTTCTTTCTGCACTTCTCTCTCTTTCCCCTGTAGTACAGACAGCAGGCTTAGCATTGCCTTGGCCAAGATTCTTTTATTTTATTTTTATTTATTTATTTTTTAATTAGGGTCTCAGTCCGCTGCCCAGGCTGGAATGCAGTGATACGATCATGGCTCACCACCGCCTCAACCTCCTGGGCTCCAGGGATCCTTCCACCTTGGCCTCCTGTGTAGCTAGGTTACAGGCATACAACACCATGCCCAGCTAATTTTAAAATTTTTTTGTAGAGACGAGATCTGTTACCTAGGCTGGTCTCTAGCTCCTGGGCTCAAGCATTCCTCCTGCCTTGGCCTCCCAAAATGTTGGGATTACAGACCTGAGCCACCGTGCCTGACCTCCAAGATTCTTTTAATTGCATAGAACAGAACCCAGTTAAACTAGCATAAACAAAACAGGTAATTTCCTGCAGAATATAAGTGTCTCTCAGAATCTAAAGGGGACTAGAACCAGGACCCAGCAAACTGCTAGGAGTCTAGCAAAGTCTACCTCTGCTTCACTTTGCATGGTGATTTCCCTCTCTCCCCTCTCCCTCTCTTTCTCTCTCTCCCTTTCTCCCTCTCCTTATCCTTTTTATTTTATTGTCTTATTGCACTGGCTATGATCTCACTACAAAGTTGAATAGAAGCTAATGTCGCAGATTCTGACTTTAAGGGGAAAACTTCTAACATTTCACCATTTATTAAACAAATCCTTATTGAGCACCTCCCATGTACCAGGCACTGGTGTTCAATGTGCTAGGCACTCCTCAGTGAATAAAACATAAATGTCTCTGTTTTTCATGAAACCGACATTTTTTTCATGGGAGGGGGCAATAACAAATAAATATATACTATATCCGAAGGTAGTATGTATGCTAAGGGAACATATTAAACAGACAGTGGGATAGGATGTGTTGAGAACAGGAGTGCAATTACATGTCCTGTGACCAGGAATGACCTTGTTAAGAAAGTTGGTGTTTGCTCAAATACCTAGGAGGTAAGGGAATGGACCATACATCTGGGAAAAGAATGTTCCAGAAAGAGGAAATGCAAGTACGAAGGCCCTGAGGTGAGAGTGTACCTGACATGTTGGAGAAGCAGCGAGGAATTCTGAGATTGAAGTGGAGTAAACAAATGAGAAAGCAGTAGGAGATGAGATCAGAGAGGCAGAGGGCAAAGGGGCGCTGGATTGTTTCTCACTGGCCACATAGGGTCTTTGCCTTTTTTTTTTTTTTTTTTGAAATGGAGTCTCACTCCGTCGCCCAGACTGGAGTGCAGTGGCACGCTCCTGGCCACCGCAGCCTCAATCTGTTGGGCTCTGGCTATCGTTCCGCTTCAGCCTTCCAAGTAGCTAGAACTACAGGCGTGCACCACCACATCTGGCTAAATTTTGATTTATTGTAGAGACAAGGTCTCACCAAGTTGCCTAGGCTGGTCTCAAACCCCTGGACTCAGACAATCCTCTTATCTCGGCCTCCCAAAGTTCTGGGATTACAGGCTTGAGCCACCACACCTGGCCTGATTTAATTTTAAAAGGAATACTTTGGCTGCTATGTTGAAAGTGATTATAGACAGCAAAGGTAAAAGCAGAAGATCAGTTAGAAAGCTGTTGTAATAATTCAGGTGGGAAACGAGTAATGGTGGCAAAGATGGTGAAAAGTGGCTGACTTCTGCATATGTTTTGGAGAAACAACAGGATTTGCTGACGGGTTAGATGTAGGCTGTGAAAGAAAGGGAGGAAGGATCATGGTAACTCTTAAGCTTTTTTTTTTTTTAATGCTTTAATTACAAATTAAAAATCTGGGAAAGGTTTTTTTCCCCCCCTACCCCAAGAGTTTATAAATAGGGACAGCCGAGCAAGTTTTTTATTTTAAAACATAACATTTTAGCCAGGTGTGGTGGCTCACCTATAATCCCAGCACTTTGGGAGGCCGAGTTGAGAAGATTGCCTGAGACCATGGGTTCGAGACTAGCCTGGGCAACTTGGCGAGACTTCATCTCTACAATAAATCAAGAAAAATTAGCCAGGTGTGGTGGTGCATGCCTGTAGTTAGTTCCAGCTACTTGGAAGACTGAGACAGAAGGATCACCTGAACTCAACAGATCAAGGCTGTGGTGGCCGTGAGCATGCCACTGCCCTCCAACCTGGGCAATAGAGTGAGACTCTGACTCAAAAAAAAGATAACATTTTAAAAATGATATTCATGGATTATTCCAACTTCTAAGAAGCAGTGAAATCCTCAGGCAACCAGAGTACCAGGTTAAGTAAGGTCGCCTCATTATCCACAGAGAAAATAGAACACTTGATCTTAAGCTTTTTTATTTGAACAACGGGAAGAATATAGCAGCCAGTTACAGGGGTGGGGAAGGACTGCATGTGAAGTGATGGTTGGCAGGGGAGGAGGTCTTGAGTTCTTGGACGTGTTAAGTTTGAGATACTGATTGGACATCCACTGATACTGATAGGTAACTGGATATATGAGTTGAGAGAGGGCTGGGCTGGAGATATAAATTTGGGATTCATCAGTGTATAAATGGTATTGAAAGCTGTAGGAAAGAATGAATTCACTAAGTAAATAAGTATAGATAGGAAAGAGCAGGGGTCCAAGACTGGTATACTTCAACATTTAAAGGAGACCAAGAGCCAGGCTCGGTGGCTCAGCCTGTAATCCTGCGCTTTGGGAGGCTGAGGTGAGTGGATTGCCTAAGCCCGCGGGTTCAAGACCCGCCTGGGCAACTTGGCAAGACTTCATCTCTACAATAAATCAAAAAAATTAGCCAGGTGTGGTAGCACACACCTGTAGTTCCAGCTACTTGGAAGACTGAGGCGGAAGGATCACTGGAGCCCAGCAGGTCAAGGCTGCAGTGGCTGGGAGCGGCCACTGCACTCCAGTCAGGACGACAGAGGGAGGCTCCAACTCAAAAAAATCAAATAAATAAAATAAAAGTAAAGGAGATCAAGAAGGAGCTATCTACTGGGCATGGTGGCTCAGCCTGTAATCCCAGCACTTTGGGAGGCCGAGGTGAGAGGATTGCCTGATCCTGGGGCTTCGAGACCAGCCTGGGCAACTTGGTGAGACCTCTTCTCTACAATAAATCACAATAACCAGCTGGGCGTGGTGGCGTGAGTCTGTAGTTCCGGCAACTTGGGAGGCTGAGGTGGAAGGATTGCCTAAGTCCAGCAGGTCAAGGCTGCATTGGCTGTGAGTGTGCCACTGCACTCCAGTCTGGGCAACAAGAGTGAGACTTAACTCAAAAACAAAACAAAACAAAACAAACAGAAGGAACAACCAATCAATAAAATAGAAGTAAAACTAAGAGAGCATACTGTCCCAGAATAGGTTCCAAAGATGATGTAGGAGAGATCACTGATGTCAAGTAGTGCTGAGTGATCATCAAGAAAAGTGATAACTGAGAAGGGACCATTGAATTGAATTTAGAAACATGCACATCCTGTAGGATGTTCACTTGTATACCTAATCCTGAATTGTACCCCACATCTTTTTTTTTTTTTGAGTTGGAGTCTCACTCTGTCGCCTA